CAGAACATCTTTCCAAAAACAGTTACTACAATCCTTAATAAGCTTGTCTAGATACGCATTCCCAAAAGTAAATATATAACTTATTACATCTCGATCAAAAATAGCTTGGAGAAGTGGAGCATATATGTTGTCTGTCTGATAAATTCTTTTAATCCAGGTACATTTAAGAGAAGCAATAAAGTCAAATAAATCTAGCATCTTAAGACCACCTTGTTCATAATTACCAGTTATTACACTCCTTTTCACTTTTTCCGTCTTTTTGCCCCATATAAATTGAAAGAACATTGTGTTTAGTAATTTCATGTATGTTTCATCTGGATTGGGAAGGGAAATGAATAGGTGGTTTAACATGGGTACAACCAGGGTTTTCGGTACAGTGATTTTGCCAATGGGTGTTAAAGGTCTCCTTTCCCATTGTTGCAACATTCTTTTAATTTTTACGATGTATTGTTCAAAATTAGTTTTTATCATATCCTGCAAATTCAATGTAAATTCAATACCTAACAAATTAAAACTGTCATAAACCCATTTCATCTTCCATCTTACATGGTGAAACACCTCCTTGCTAAACTTTTTGCGCCAATCCAAATTAGTTTACTCTTACTCTTATTTATCGCCAAACCTGATATTTTTGAAAAGAAATCAAGTGTATTAAATGCTGCAAGAAATGAGAGTCTGCTGCCGTTGAGAATGAGGGTAGTGTCATCAGCATATTGTGATATTCTAAATTCTGTATTCTCTATCTTTATACCAGTAATATCACTATTATTCTTGATCAGTAACGAAAGTATTTCAGCACATAAAATAAAAATGTACGGGGAGAGGGGGTCACCCTGACGGCATCCTCTCGAGATTCTGAAGTATTCGGATAAATGATCGCACTGACTAATGGAGGCGCTGCAGTCGAAATTTAATATCCCAAACCATTTTTTAATTGCGTTACCAAAATTAAAGAAGTCCAGTACATTAATTATAAAATCCCAGTCAACCGAATCGAAAGCCTTTTCAAAATCAATCAAAACAAGCAAGCCTGGAATATTTCGTTTTTCTGTGATGTGCATTAGGTCATATATCAACCGTGTGTTTTCTCCTATATAGCGGCCAGCTAAAAACCCAGATTGAGAAGGGGAAATTAGTTTGTCTAATACAGTTTTCAAATGTTCAGCTATACATCCGGATATTAGTTTATAAAATACATTTAATAATGTTATAGGTCGCCAATTTTGTAAAAATTTTCTATTCTTGTCTCCTTTCGGGATACAAGTAATAATGCCGAGTTTCTGGCTGGTTGGTAACCTTTCTTTACGAAATACTTCATTTACCGTTCTGACCATAAATTCTTTCAAGTCTGACCAAAAAAATTTGTAAAACTCAGTTGTAAAACCGTCGGAACCCGGAGATTTGTTATTCTTCAATTTCTTTAGGACTGTAAGAAGTTCTGTCTTGGAGATTTCTCCCTGTAGCAGTTCTTTTTCGGTATCATTTAATTTAGGCACGTTAAATTGGTCAAGAAGGACTCGAAGATCAGTTTTTTCTACAAATTCTTTTTTTGAGGAATACAGACGCTCATAAAATAATTTAGCTTCATTAAGTATTTCCTTTTGATCAAAAATAACAGTACCGTCTTGCAGTTCTAGATTTTGTATAGTTTTGTTCACGTAATGTCTAGATTCTAGCAAACAGAAGTATTTTGTCGGCTTCTCACCTTCTTCCACCCACCTTGCTTTTGCTCGCAAAAGGATACCTTTTAGTTTCCTCTGTCTTATGTTTTTCAATTCTGTCTTTTTTGCTTCCAATAGATCTGAAATGTCTTGGAATTGAGGATTAGTTTCTAGTTCATTTATTGAGTTTTCCAAATCATTTTCGAGTTTACAGGTTTGCTTATTTCTGTAAGAGGAATATGATATAGTCGCGCCTCTAATTTCCATTAAAAGAGTTTCAAAAAATAGCGAGTCATCAATTATAAAGGTAATAGACTCGTTCGGAATGTCATCTATATGTTCCAAATTATATACGGGGATTGTATACTGTCTCTTAACTTTTAATATCGTTTCCTTAATTTTAGTTACATATTCCACGTCATTTAAGAGAGTATTATTAAAGATCCAAGTCCCCCTGCCTTTGATGAATTTATTTAATTTTAGTTCTAGTATTACTGATGAGTGGTCAGAACGGTAACCTGCATTTATAGCAATGTTGTTTACAGAATTTTGTAGGTTATCGGCGATCAAGAAAAAATCGAGCCTAGCTTGCCTCAACGGATTCCTTCTTCTCCACGTAAACCTTCTTTCTCCTGGATACAATACTCTGAAAAAGTTAATTATATCAAGATTATTCATTATTTCAATTACTTTCTTCCTTGCTCTGGGGTTATTTACATGACGGTAATTGCTTGAATCTAGCACCGGGTCTAAAACGAGATTAAAATCTCCACAGATGATAAAGTTTTCATTATTAAAATCGACAATAGCTTGTCGTATTTGTTCGTAGAAATCTGGGCTATCTCTATTAGGACCATATATGTTAATTAAAGTAAATCGGACTTTGTTTATACCAATATCCAACGCTAATAGATTGCCATCATTTGTTTTTTGTTCATTAAAAAATTCAAACTCGAAGTTATTATTAATTAGAATGGCCACCCCTCGGGCATTTGTAGAAAA